ATGGGGGCAAGCAAGGGTTGGGGGGGAGGAATGGGGAGAAGGCCGGGGATGGGGCCTGGCAGGGGTCACCCCATGGTCCTCCGCCCCCCTCCATTTACCAGCTCTGAGTCCAGGTCCAGCTCCCTGCTGCAGCGGGCAGGGACTGCCCGAATTGCCAAAGTTCTCCGAATCTTTTCCAAAGTTTCGGAAAACTTTGAATCGATTCGGACCTTTTAATTGGTCCCCTGATTCAATTTGGATTTGGAGATTCGGCCACCATATCAGGCTGAAACTCCTCTGTATCAAATCAGCACCTGAATTTTCACATAGCCCTACAGACTACGTCTAAGGGGACTATGAAAGATAACTATAATTCATCAAAAGCATGTGAACACCCACATTTTAAAATTCAGAGGGATCCACACCTCCATTCAAAATTTCCAAAGGGGTCCACACCTCCATTCAAAATGTTTTAGGGGTCCGCAAAAGAAGAAAGGTTGGAAACGACTGCATTAAGGAACTCAGTCAACTTCCTCCAAAAAGAAACAATCTTCCATTCCCAACCCTCTGCCCCAACTCCAAGCCACCTCCATAGAAATGTCATTAGTAAAGAAGACTGTCATGGTACACTGCCGGAAAGGAAGAGTAAGCTGAGAGAGAAAGGTGCTTAAGGCATCATCAGCCTGTCTCTGGTCCTAAATTCTTAAAGCTAAAGGCTGTTAATGTGAGTGCCTCAGCTGAACTTAACCATCAGGGTAAAACTGAGAAAAGAACAAACATAGTATAGATTAGCAGTCAAACATTTTCAAAGTTTGGGGGTATTTGGATTTGGCTTATATTTTCCAGCCAGTCTCTTAATAAGATGCTAGCTTCAAAACACTGAGACCTGATTCACTGCACAATGTAATGGACAGAAAGGCTACCATTGACTTCAGTGGGTGCTGGATGACGCTGGGAAAGGGGAGGGGGGAGGTGCGCTTTTCTGGGCAGTAAAAAGATCCATTATCTGTAGTTAATTGTAAAATGTCAAGTGGCTGAGTGAAGGGGCTTATTCATAATGCACATGCTAGTGCTGTTATAACTACTATCAATTGCCATTTTGGAACATTCACCACTGAAGATAGAATACAGCTGGGCAAAAAAAGTGAAACTAGTGAAATACTGGTTTGTGTAGGCTGAAACAAAGTTACTTTACGACCAGGGCATCACTATCATTGTTTTATCTAAATAAGAGTTTTACATGGTGAAAACTGCTTTTATTCTTTAAATAAAGACAGGCATACAATAAATACACACAGATGCACACAAACTGAACATACTTTGATTTTACTGCCAGCAGTAGTTGGGCGGCCTTTCTTGTCTGCTTGGAGGTTTTCAGGAAATAGAGCCTTTATAAAAGGTCTAGAAAAGAATTAGCAAGATGTCTATATGAATGGACACGGCAAACAGGCACTCTGCAGACTACAGCTAGATCAAGGCATACATCATAGAAACTGGTAACTTAATAGAACATAAATGGTTATTTGCAATCATATATCTCTTTAATATCAACACTTTCAGGAGCTGTTGCCATATGGAACCTCTGCCTTTTCAGTTATCATCTTGGCAAGCACATGAATTTCTGAAGGATTACAAAGTTCCAGATTCAAGGAATATTATTTTTAAAACTGTTAACATTATTCATTAAATTATATAGTAATTAATAATGCTTCTTTGTACTTTCAACCCATAATCTTTCATCTGTTCATTTTAAAATATTTTACAAATCATTGGGTTACTTCCTAAAGCACCACACTTGGGGTCTCTCCAGATCTTACCAATGTCTATTTTGCCCTCTGAATGTTCCTATATAATTATTCACGTCTATACAAAGTAAATGCAAACTGACTGCATTTACTATGCTATCTTTCTGCTTTGGTCATGTTTTACCCCCACTTAGTCACAGCAATCAAAGATTATACTGGGTGCAAAGCAGTACAGAATCAAGCCCCTTGCATCTATTTGAGCCAACGTATTTATTCTCAGCTTTAAACATTTTTTGCCTACTTACAGCTCACTGCTCTGCATGAGTTCAATCAGGTCCATGAAAAGAACATCCCGATTCCTTTCACAGAAACCATCCATATCATAGGATACCTAAGCAAAGTGAAATCAAATGTTGGTGGTAAATTGAAAATGTGATAATTAAACAATATTTAATCTCTTTTTCCATCTCCATTTTTTGTTTCTGGGAGATTCCTTGGTAATTAATACATCCCTGTACAGCGTTTATCTCATGAGTTTGCCCAGTATAAACAAGCTGATATCTGCAATGCATTTAGAATATAAAAAAGAGCTGCAAGCAGCTGGATAATGGTCTTGGAGTAAACTTCATTTCATCCAGGAGAGAAAAGCATTCTGCATAAACAAGGTTTGCTGTAATACATTAATAAGCATGGCAGTATTGAAAAGTTTTAGACATAGTCAGGGGGATTTCACAGGGCTTAGTGGCAATGTAAGAACACTTGCACGTTTACTCCAGAGAATTAATGGATTTCTAACCATGAGGATAGCTAAGCACTGAAACAGTTTGCTTAGAAAAGTTACGGAATCTCTATTAATGGAAGTGTTAAATTCAGGTTAAACAAATGTTTGTCTAGGAAGGTTTAAACAGCACTGACCCTGACTTGAACATGTATCAGATTAAATATCTCTATATAAATCATACATGTATTTACCTTTACTTAGTAAAAATGCCTGTACACAAATTCTTGTCAAATTAATTATTTCTCTTGTAAAATGCATTTCACAATTTGTTTCTGTGGGCCTTGTATAGTAAAAGATAGTGTCATCCCATCAGTAAAAATCACAAAAATGGTAGCCTAACATACAGAAACCCATCTCTAATTGTAGAAGTAACCTATTTTGACCAGGGGACAAGAACTATTCTGAACTTGTATATGCTAGCCTCAGTAAGAAAACAAGATGAAAACCTGTCTTCAAGGTAGTAAATGGCTTCAGTTGCTTTGGAGGGAGAGGGGGTTAGATTTTACTCTGAAGATCATGTTGTTATTTTTCAAATCGCTTATAGATAGGATTAGATGCCTGGCTAGGACATAAGCTATATATAATACGACATGATCAAGGGCAGATCCAGAGGGGCTACAGTGGCATAAATGTGCACCCCTCTTTCAGTTGATGACAATGCAGAATCAGTATCTGGGACTTCTTTAATTACTGTCCTTTTTGTTTGGAAATATATTAGGCAGCACTTAAAATGAGGGTCCTCTTCAAAAATTATTTTTCTGTGGCACCTTTCCAGCATAATGATGAACAATAAATCCCTGGTTCCAGCTGTTGAAATGTTCATGAGTCCCAATCTGCATCTGGAGTTTCTGGAGTAGTGTTTGGTCAGCTCCTTCGCCCACGGCATGCATTGTGGCACACACATCATCCAGAATGCTCATAATCCCTGGAGGATTCTGATGCAGAAAGCACAAAAGGGAACAAAACCAAAATGGTAATAAGCAACATGCAAGGCAATACTAGTATTTTTTCAGAAAAAGAGAAATTCTTCATGCTGAATTAAAACACCATATCAAATTTATCTCGGGTATAATCCCCTTAAGTGGAGTTATAATAGAGAGTTTATCCATTAGCATGAAAGCAAAGATCAGGAAGAAGTGCAAGTCATAGCTAGAGTGAGCTAATTAAAGGGGGAACTAGCAGGTATATCAAAAGAAATCTTCCCTTTTTTAGCTTAGAACTCTTTCCCAGATAGAGTTACCTTCCTTCCAGCATCAAAAAGTAACCCACACTTTGGATAAAGTAGTTTCTTGTCTGACAAGTTGCCAATTTTGTTAATCAATGTCCTAAAACTGCAATGTGACACATGCACCCTGTATTTTACCATTCCTTGCATGTAGATGAGAGAGGCAAATTTGGGAATGCTTTACTATTTTATCCAAACCAGCAGTGCTCAACCTCCATAACATCTTGCCCATGGGCCTTCAGGAACAGCTGAAGCTCCATGCAGCCAGCTCCAGCCTCAGCTTCCCAACCAGATATCTGGACTGGAGTTGCTTCACCCCACTCGCCATGCATCTGGATTGGGGTTTGGCTGCTCTCCACCCCTGCTTGCATCGAGACTGGGACTAGGCTGCTTCTTACCCACCTCCCCCACCCCAAGCATCCAGATTGGGGCAGCTCCATCCCGCCTGCCCCCATCCTGGGCAGACGGATTAGAGTCAGGCTGTACAACCCCCTGCAGCCAAAATGGAACCGGCAGCCAGATCCA